TCTGCTATTCGTTTAATCAACATGAGCTCAATGGTTCTAGCGGTCAGCTCCGTTCATCTGCTTCGAGCACGGTTCGAGATCTGTACTATTCGGGTTAGAAGATAGAGTTGTACTCGCTCTGTTGCTTGGACCATAAGCGCGTTCGAACAAAATGAGTCATGGTGTGAAGTAAAACACATGCACACACACAAAGTTTTAAAAAATCTGAAGGAAAAACTCGCGTTGAGTGTCTACGTAGTTAATATTAGCCCTTGTTTTTTTCAAATGCAGAGATTCCGAAAGCCAATTTTCCTGAATATTCTACCCCATCGGCCTCTCCAATTCTCCAACACGAGTGCTGTTCACAATAACCAAAAAATCGTTTAAATGTTTTACAATAGTTGAAATTAACCAAGAGCACTCTGCGTCACCGTTTGTTGCCGTTGAGCCCACCGGACTGATTTTATGTCAACAAAGATCAGTTCTGATCAATCTCTGATCGGGAATTCCGGTCGACCCAGCTGTAACCGAGTTGTCACAATGATGATAGATACAACTGTTTACATCTCAGGCTTGCCTGTAGATATGCACTACTGTTGGACTTTACCAGAAACAAAATTTGGCTTCACTGCTCCCCGGATATGTGTTCTAACTGGGGATCACGTGTGACGGTGCGGACTGAAAGAACGATGATCTGTCAAGTCACTATCGCTTGTCCCACACCACTACTTGCAATTAACTGCGAGTTAAAATTGTGAAGGCAAACCTAATCATTGATCAAAATAATTGCATATTAAACTACTCTAACATGAACTAATATCAGACTTGCACTGATCTGAACGAAGTGAATGACGGAGAGAGAGCCGTCCAGCGCGTGATCGAGTGAACTGACGATTGATTGCACAGGTTCATGTACACTTGCCTATGTGTGTGCGAGTATACAGACTTGCAGACACGCACGCGTTTATTCATTCCTCACTGTTCACCTAAACTCTTCTTGCCTGGAAGGGATGGAGCGGGCGGGGCGAGGGGGGGGGAGTGTGATACAACACATGTCATTTGCATTTTACCTAATTGACATGCAAAAACCAGAGGGGCCGAGAAAGGGTTTCTTATTTGTAGCTGGCTGAGCTTCTGACTACCAGAAGAGATGCGTTCGCCGGTGCATCTCGGTCAATCACATTCGACTCACGTGTTTGTGTATGCCAGATCAATCGGATTATTGCTGAACGGCAAACAAAAGAGTCATCCCTGATAACTTCGAATTCAAGGACAGCAGGTGCGTTCTAATTTATTTCCGTGTATGGTGGTTAGGCAAGAGGACTTTGCCCGTTTTTGGCATGAAACTACACAAAATCATTATAGATAATTTTGTGTGAGGGGTATTTTGGAATCATCCCACACCTCTGCTGACAAGTAACTGTGCGTTAAATGCATTTTACGGAATGGCAGTTTGTTATGCCATTTTGTAAAAGATAAACTCTACAAAAGATTTTAAATTATAATCTTTCCTTCTTGATTGCACACCGAATAATAAGTGATTTGAAAAATGTTTTGGGCGTTTAATAACTAACTAAAGTGAAAACATGAGCGTTTTCGGACCATTTTCTGATCACGAAAGTAACCACTCCACCACCTCTGTAAAGGGAGTTCACACTACGATCACCCCGAAATATGTCAAATCCATGAAGATGCACGACGTTGTCCTCAGTGTCAGGATGTCGCCAACTTTCTTGAAGTAGAATCACTCCTACATTCTTGCTTTCCTTTTGGTGTATCATGTTCTTGACATCATCGAGTTTTCCCTTGAGAGAGTGAATGTTACATGAGATAATAGACGGAACGGTCAAATTACCAACAGAACGCCTCCTAAGCGCCGCAAGCCAGCGAGCACGGTGTTTTTTTACGGTGTCCGAACACATTTGCGCAGTCTTTTGAAGCAACTTCTCACAAAATGGACAAAAGACAGAAACTGATGTTTCTGCGCAGTAAACCGCAAAGATTTAACATATGTGGCAATATAGAATAACATTTGACCTTGAGAATTCAACGAGTTAATTCAAAAGTGCTGACCACATGTTCCTTCACTCTAACTTCACGAAATACTATCCGACGATAACAAGGCATGGTCAAATTCAAAGGGCCCGCGACTGTCTGATTCACTGTCGTAATTAAAACGACGATGTTCGAATGCGTGCGTTCCAATACACCCGTCACACAAAATGACCATATCTGTTATCTTGCGCTTGAGAATCGGTTTTCAGTTTTGCTAGTCCACAGATTTCATTTTTACTTAGAATCCGCTAATAATCTAGTCAACCGGATTCAAGTAGCGATTGCACGAGAAATTCCTAATGGTTATTAGCCACCTATCCATTTAGGGTATTTAATTCCAAATTTAGCGATTAGACTACACTAAAAGGCCGAGAGTAAAACAACCAGCATTTAGAATTTATTAGGTGTTGTCTGTGATGATGGTCATTTAGTTGTTTGAAAATGCGGATGACAATAACAACAACAACAACAACAACAACAAAATTAGTCTATAAAAATGAGTTGGGTTGGGTGATGTGGAAAGTGCATGATGTTCTCATAATAAGAAAGCTGTCTAGCAGGAGGGAATAAAGCACCTTCGAAAGTGTAGACAGAAACTCACTGACGTGTAGGAGGTAGGTGTAAGAAAGGGTCTTTACAGGGTAATACAAAACAATCCCTTTCACCGGTGCTTAAACCAGGCTGCATTTCACGGAACAATTTAAGTTCCGTATTCTCAGCTGATATGCATTGTGCAGCTGTTAGAATCTTCACATCGAAGGATCCTTTTGTGTGACCCTTGGGTGATAAGAAACAACCGAGGAACACTGTCTCCGGATCTGTGTCTTCTGCCAACCAGGTGTTGTTCAGGTCCCTCACTGTTTTGTTCTGAAGAGACTCTAGGCATTTTTCATGTATTCGTTTGAACAAAGACCCAATCTGAGTTCACTGTAACCACTACGAGCTTGTGTAAACTAGTATAGAGGTAATAACTGCGGACACAGATGATCTTTTAATAGACCTTGAATGCGGATCTCAAATGAATTGTGGGAGAAAAAAGGGTATTGGATTTTGATGAACTGTGTCCTTAGATTTCCAAAAGTTCTTCATCTTTGAACAAAATACTTATAAGCCCCTTGTTTTAACTATTTACTTTGTAACACTGCTCAATTTTTGTTCTAAGTGCTAAGTGTTGTGTTTCATTGGAGAAAAGTCTCTGATATAAGCTAAATAGGGTCTTTGAAAAGCACATTCTAATCGATCGGTTGGGTATGAGGCTAAGTAAAAATGGAAATGTGCTCGTGTGTACCATTCTGTTTTCGTGGGCTTGAAGCATAATCTTTCCTAGAAGCTAGAAAGAAAAGCTATAAGGTAGTCTGTTTGTCTACCGCGAGGAGTACAGCTGGGTGAGCGTACAGCGCGATATTTGATCCAACGTATGAAAATAAAACTAATTTGTGTTTACAATTTATTCTCATGCATGCACATCTAACTGTTGCCTAATTTGATAGATCAAGCTCATCTTGTACTGTTAAAATGCTGAAATTAGAATGCAGATCCCCTACAAACGAAGATTCAACGGGTTCGTAATTGACATGATAAAACAATTTTCGCTACCCTGGTGAACTCAAACTCATGTCGGTTTGTGTATGCTTGCTTTTATAAGGCTGCTTGAAGTTAGTTGACGATTATGAGCAATCAGCAGGTATGGTGGTGTTGGTGGGGTTGCCTACTGTTCCAGAGTTACTGAAATTCTACCTTGGTGAAAGTGAGAGCATTTCTCAGGCACTAGCCTCACATAGAATGCATCAATCTAGTGAGCGCAATTTGTCTGATTTGTGAATGAAAAACGTGCCAAGATTTTGGCCTCACGTGATATAAACAGTAGTGGGTGTGCTGTTTGTGTTCTAAAGGAAACAATGGAAATTACATCTCAGGGTGTAGGCCTGGTGAAAGTATACAAAGGAATTTTCCAAAGGTTACCTTATTTTAAATGTAATGGAAATGTTTGTAATAACCAATAAAGAGCACTTGGCAGCTGTTTCATCCTGTTTGGTACTCGTCAGCAGTGCCTACTTTTTGTGTCCCTGACAGTACTCGAACCGCGATTCTTCGGGTCGGGACTTCAACCCCCTACCCTTGAACTACACGGCCGACGGTCATCACCTTGTGCGAATGGCTTAATCATTTTTAGAGTATCAAGCTTGAATTGGCCCATTCAATTGTTTAGAGGTACCAGGCATTCTTGATGGTCTTGGGTGTGGGTTTCACTCAGTGGAAGATTGTTAATTTCCCACGAGACAATGCATTCAAATGCACCGACAACCATCAGATCAAATTGATTTTTTACACCTTTCCTTCCTCGACAAGGCCTACTGGTTTGAAGCTTTATTGATGTAGTTACAAACATTGAATAGCAGTGGATATGTTTGTCTTTATTTGTGTATGTATAACTGAGTTAAAACATTTCATAGTTATGTGAGCCGAAGTTGCCGGTTTCGTGTGTTATTTCAGCGCTTTTACCAGTCTTTTACCTTTGCGTGTGATTTATTCCCATCTCAGGGATTGAGTTAATAAATAAAACCAGCTGGGAGCATCTCAGTTTTGTAGAGGGACTTACAAATTTCAAGAATCAACAAATTAGAATGAACTGTTATTCGCTGAAATTCACCCATTTTCCTGGCGTCATTATAAATTTCCAACGAGCCACCTTTATAGTTCTCATTATCTATGTCCTATCGAGAAACTATCACAAAATCCTGGTTGTCGTCCTCCCCATTATAGTTTTCATAACAAGTGGTATCAGCCCGGTCGTTACGATTTCAGCATTTCAATTTTTGCATTATAACGGACCCAAGGACGATCATGAGATTTTTTATTTCGACCACGTGTGAACTACTTTGAGAGCACTTTTCTGGGTAATTAACCTGGAATGCCGAGATGTAAGAGTTGACTCGGGACAACAAACCTATCTACTTTTTCAAAAAATGATTGTTAGGTGAATCTATCATAATAACTAATTTTGAAGAAACAGTGCTTCTAGCTGTCAAACCACTATCATCATTAGTGATTTTGGAATCAGTGCTTGAACGACATCCAGGCGCTCACTCTTCTTATCTGGTTACCCTAGATATTATTGATGGCATTTAGAATCACCGGCTAGCTGTAAATTCACCTACTTAGCAGGTTCTCCCACAAGAACCAGTACAAATGTCCCTATTTACGATCATTATTCTGCGTATTTTTGGAACTGTTCTGTTGAGTTATGTCCTGAAAGCAATACGTTTCTGGTGGAACACCACTGGCGGTGATGGTTATCAGTTCATTTCAGCTTTTTTACAAAAACTGACCAGGTCACAAGTAACTGAGTTAAAATGCGAATTACTTATCCAATCTAGTAGGTTTGTGACCAGTTCGCTCATAACCTGCATGGAAGACTTGATTGGATGGGAGGCCTTCCATTGGAGTCCACAGATAGCCTTTCGTTGCTGTCGCACTGGAATGAGCTGACAGACCGTATCTGAAGACGACACATGAACAAATATGATTTGGAGATTCAGTTCAGCCCTGACCTGTGTTGGTTAGCCCAGTGGTAGCACACATCTTCCACGTGATGGGTCCGAAGTTCAAATCTCGGACGGGATAATGGATATGCACTACTGATGCATTATTCTAATAGCAAAATCCGACTCTAGTGCTTCTGAGTGTGCTGTTGACTGAAAAAGCTGAGGAATATGCGCGAAGGTCAAGTATGAAGGATGGTTAGCTCCAATCAATCAAAAAATAATTACTCACGTCCATGCTGTGGTTTTGGTTACTGTCTTTTGACTGCTCATTTGGATAAAAGAGTAAAAGGGACATTAGAACATTGAGAGTGGATTCAAAGCGAAAATAGGAAATGCACAACCACTAAGGTATTAGGAATAATGAGTAGGTGCACGATTGTCACTGTTTACAACATTCAGCCATATCTCTGGTTGCCTCTAAACAACAGTTACCATGATTTCGAGGTTCTCTATCCATGGAGCCTAAGGCGGCCTATATGACTGAGAATCCTGGACATGCCCTAGAACCTTTTTCTCACGTTGCTGAACGTACCCTCTAGAGTAAGAAGAGGGCCGCGTGATAAAAGTGGAATTTCATTGCGGACTAGTTGTGCGCACATCACGATCTCTTTCACAGACATTCAAGACTTATTCAGCGGGAACGACCGACTATCTTTAGTAATCATCTGCGTGCTACCAACAGCTGTGCTTGGTAGCGCATAGCTTCACTCATCACAAACTTGTAACTTCCCATCCCTGAAGCCTAAAACAATACTTGGTAGAAACCAATGACGGTGAGAACTGCATGCATGGTAAGAGGTAAACAGTAATCAATAAGCTGATCATTTTTAATATGCAGTAGATACACGATGCGCACTCGGTCTAGGTTTCTATGATATTCCAATCTAATGCTTCTTTTTATTCCACCGCATTAAGTGGAACGGGCTAACGGTTCTGTGTTTTAGCTCGTTTTACCTGCACATTTTCAGAGTTATATCTGAAATAGAGTATCTGTGTTTCACTTTGAGGCATTTTCAACTTATGATTTCGTAATGATCAAAACTTCATTCTATCTAAAGTGCAAACTTTAAAATTGACCTGTGTATTTTGTGTTCACAGTCCTCTACTCAGATGAATTTAAACTAATTGTTTTGATTACATTTCGCTAAAATTACTAATCCCGCATTTCTTGTGTGTCACAAATTTACTCAAACACTGTTCGATCCCAGCTGCGTTCCGAATGGTGTTTTACTTGCCATCTAACGAACAATTGCATCTGAGTGGTTGATAAAGTTTTGCAAACCTATTTGGATATATTTAAAACTACACATCTTATCGTCTTAAATGACCTAATAATGTCTAGCAGAATAGGTGTTAAGCCTCTCAAGCTTGGAGTCTTTGTACGCTCACAGCAGACCGTTTGCTGTTATTTCTATAGCAAAGTTCCAAACTGCGGCCTTTTATGTAGATTCTAAAGAAGCGCTAATGACAAAAACGTTTATGAAAGATGAGCTGCTTAGAAGTCATTTACACTTTGTAATATGTAAGCAAATATTCACCAGGTATTTAGACCACATAAATGATAGAAGCGCTTATTTCCAGCTACTATTTCATCATTCTGTCCTGCTGTTTACCATTTGTCATCGGAAATCAGTTGGTTACACGTCATATGTGATGTACTGTAAGCTACCTGAAAATATTAGAACGCCGACAGGGTAGCGAGGTCTGATTGGATCCAGGTCATTCCAATTTAGAATGATAAAAAAATTCAGCGTTTTTCAGGTCCAACAAATTTTCGCATTCTAACCGGACCGATTGGTTTACTGCGGATAGGTAATCACCAATAGAGAATAAAAATGAAGAACAGGACTGAGAGTCCACAAACACTTAAGAATAACAAACTTTACTGGACAAAAGTTAAGTCTTGTTCAGCTTTTCGGCCACCTCGTGCGGTCATCGATCGCATTCGTACAGAATGTTCTGACGATGTTACAAAACATGACTGGGAGCTTGAAACCCCTGATTTTTAGGTACTTGAGTGTGTGTTTATGCATACCCACATAAGTTTATGAGCGAGTAGTATTCTCTGTTTGGTCAGTATTAATTCTCGCCTACCTGTCCAATACGCGGACGTAAAACGCATGCAAAATATTTAGCTGTACTCATGAATATCCAGATATGACACTAAGTGACGGACTACTTGAGGACTGAGCAAGCCATGTGTTCTACTTTTCGCATGGACAGATATGGAACTCTTTTGCTAGCGGACAG